AACACCCCACTCATTGTTGCTTCTTGTCACTTGTCAAGCTAGGATTAAAGTCTTTCTGTCACTGTCTCTCTCACACACACTTCTGAAAGTACAACTCTTAATGTGTACTTTGAGCTAACTAATGTTTTTTTGTTGTGTTTTTCTATTTTCGTCGCCATTAAAATTAGTGGTTTCAACTAATTTCTCATGTAGAGGACTGAAAGTAGAAACAATTTTTTACTCCTGCCTTTACTAAGGACCATTACTCCTCCCCAGACACAGCCAGGAATCTTTTTTGGCTCTCTACAATAGGAGCAGACACATTATCTGCTGTCTGCCTTTGGGATAATATATTATCTTCCCCGTCTTTCCTTACTCGTTCCTTTTCCACAGCAATATTTGATATGCCAAGTGAGCCCGTTTCCTATTGCCTGTTCCATTGCCCATTTCCTGACCCCATTTTCCACATTCATTTTATTTAGGATGAGGATATATATTATACTGTGTGATTATGACTTATTCAACACTTCCTAATGACACATACTTTCCTGCGTTGTGGAGTACAGAAGGCGGGTGGGAGGAGATTATCTCTGCCTTCACAAAGCTCTCAGTCTAGTATCAGAATTCAGGAAGCTGCTTTTGGAAAGCATTTGTGAGACATTCACAGAAAATCAATATGTAGTAGACAGAGATAAAAGTCTGTAAGTAAAGTAACCATGAAGGTGGAAAGAACAATAAGGCTGGGATTAGAGGACTACTATCCTTGAATATAAAATTTAGTTCTGACTCATCTGCTACAGCAAAAGGGAAACATGATGCTCAACCTAGTTATCATCTGATGACGTCTTTCAAAAGAGACCAACTATTTTCCTGGCCTTAAATTCCAAAGGGATTTGTTGCAGGTACCCTTAGGAAGCAGCATTGATCAACATAGTGTACAATGCCTTCTTTTGTAACTCCACTTAGAATGTAAAAGTTCCCCATCATGTGCGTATTTCTTTTATGTGTTTATGTGTCTCCAATAAAACCCAAGGTTAAAGTCTTAATGTTCATCCAACAAAAGCTTTTCTCTATGAAACTGTTACTCAGGTGTTCAAATGAGTATCTAGAAAAAAAACAAAAGTAAGAAAGAAAGAAAGAAACTAAAGACTGGATTGCTTCCAAACTTTTAGAAAGTGAAAAGAGCAAATGCTTCCTCACATCAATTAGCTTTTTTGGGTGAGTTCCTTAAGGACTGTATATTTTGGATTATTTGTTGATACAAAGCTCACATGTTTTAATTATTGGGAGTTTGATGAAGGAGCCTTCCCTTACCTAATTTTTTTTTTTCTTCTTCTTTTTAAAAAAATAATTTTATTAGGGGCTCATACAACTCTATCACAATCCATACATACATCAATTGTGTAAAGCACATTTGTACTTTCATTGCCCTCATCATTCTCAAAACATTTCCTCTCCACTTAAGCCCCCGGCATTAGTTCCTTATTTTTCCCCTCCTTCCCCGCTCTCCCCTCCCTCCCTCATAAGCCCTTGATAGTTTATAAATTATTATTTTGTCATATCTTGCCCTGTCCGGTGTCTCCCTTCATCCACTTTTCTGTTGTCCGTCCCCCAGGAAGGAGGTCACATATAGATCCTTGTAATCGGTTCCCTCTTTCCAACCCATGCCCTTTGACTTCCTTACTGGGTACAGGTCAATGCTCTGTGCTGCAGGGGCAGCGTTAAATTGTTTTGACAGAGCAGCTGGCCTGCAGATTCTGATATTTACTGTAGTCCTTTACAGAGGAGCCCTGGTGGCTGGTGTGTTGCCATGTTCAATGTTCAATTTCACATGCATGTGATGCAATGTAGAGTGCCGTGGCGTGGGTCAGGCACAAGGTCAGCAGTGGGAACCCAGCAGTCACTGTGAGGGTGGGAGATGACACTTTCCACTCTCATTAAGAGTTGCAGTTTTGGAAGTCCACAGGGCCAGTTCTACTCTATGTTTAGGGTCATTATGAGTCAATATCGACTCAATGAGGAGAGTTCTTCACAGAAGTGTACTGATCCTGCATTAGACTGTAGTGATGAATTCTTAATAGTAAAGTGAGGCCCTCACTTCGTAAGTCCCTCATGTCCTACCTCAGGGATGTGCGTGGTTTTTGTGCCCTGGCCCACTTCTCCTTGTGCTGTTGTTTCTGTGTAGCTGCACTGAGCTGCCGAACCTTGTGTCACCCTGCAGGCCAGGACAGGAACTGAGTCATTGTGATTTGTGCGGTGAAAGGCTGGTGGGAGCCAGTGATAACTAAAGAGAGTATGCTGTCACAGTGAGAGAGAGGCCAAGTGAGCAACTGACTATCATTCTTAGCTTTCAGCATGAAGTTCTGGATCTGCATGTGTGGAAAAGGAGGGGGGAAAATGAGTGTTCTGGGTCATTTGCTCATACCTGTTTGGTTAAATTAGAATTTTCTAGGAAGGGAAGAAAGAATATTGGCAAGTAAAATAAGAGCGGAAATGTGGAATGACATTACAAGAAACATGTCATAGGTGCATTTGTTTCCATTCATATGTTTGGAAGGCTAACCCAGAGTTGCCACCTGCTTAAACAAGCAGACTAGTCATCTTGGCGCTCTTTGAGTCCCGTGAGCTATACTTACTCCTCACTTGTTTTTGGTCTGACATCTGGTTCCCAAATCCTTTGCTGATTGGACTCCACAGCTCTGCCTTGAGCTCTGGGTTTGCAGGCTTTTGACTTCCCCTTCACTGAAATCCGGACTCTGACATTCCACTTTGTCCTTCTGCTTCCTGGGGCCTTGGTTTACACCTGACAGATAGATTTAGGGTTCCGGAGCTGTTTGTTGCCCACACGTCTGGGCCTTTTGCTTAGGTGCCATCGACCCATAGTGACCCTGTGCACAACGGGACAAAATGCTGCACAGTCCTGCTCGGTCCTCACAGTTGTTCCTATAGCTGACCCCATTGATGAAGCCGCTTTGTCTATCTCATCGAAGGCCTTCCTCTTTTTTGCCACCCATGTTGTTCTTCTCCAGAGACTGGTCTTTCCTCACAATATGTCTAAAATATGTAAGACTCAGCCCTGCCACCCTTGCTTCTAAGAAACACTCTAGTCTTCCTTCTTCCAATACAGATCGATTTGCCCTCTTAGCAGTCACTGGTACTTCCAATATTCTTCTCCAGCATCACAATTCAAATGCATCTATTCTCCTGTGGTTTTCTTTGTTCATTGGTAAACTTTCAGATGCATACGATGCAATGAGAATGTCATGGCTCGGGTCAGGCACACATTAGTCCTCAAGGTGACACCCTTGCTCGTCAATACTCTGAAGCCGTCTTGTGCTGCAGATTTACCTAATGCAATATGTCATTTGATCTCTTGACTGCTGCTTCCATGAGCATTGATTGTAGATGCAAGTAAAACAAAATCCTTCACAACTTTAATCTTTTTTTATTTATCATGATGTTACCTATTGGTCCAATTGTAAAGATTTTAGTGTTCCTTACATTGAGTTGTAATCCATAATGAAGGCTACAATCCTTGAACTTCATCAGCAAGTGCTTCAAGTCCTCCTTACTTTCAACAGGCAAGTTCATGTCATCTGCATATCCCAGGTTGTTAAAAGCCTCCCTCTGATCCTGATGCTGCCTCTTCATAAAATCCAACTTTTCTGATGATTTGCCCAGCATATAGATGAGAGGATACAACCCTGATAAACACCTTTCCAGATTTTAAACCTTGCATTATTCCCGTATTCTGTTTGCACAACTTCCTCTTGATCCATGTACAAGTTCTGCATGCGCTCAATGAAGTATTCTGGAATTCCCATTCTTCTCAAGGTTGTCCACAGTTTATTATGGTCCACACTGTCTGATGCCTTGGCATAGGCAATGAAACCAGGTAACCATCTTTTCTGGTATTCTGTGCTTTGAGTCAAGATCCATCTGAGATCAGCAATGATATCCCTTCTTCTGTGCCCTCTTCTGAATCCGGCCTGAGCTTCTGGCAGTTCCCTGTTAGTGTACTGCTGCAACCATTGTTGGATGATCTTAAGCAAAATTTTACTTGAGCATTCTGTGGGTCACCTTTCTTTGGAATGGGCACAAATATGGATCTCTCCTACTCAGTTGGCTGGGTAGCTAGCTGTCTTCCATATTTCCTGGCATAGCCGAGTGAGTGCTTCCAGTGCTGCTTCAGCTGTCTGAAACATTTCAGTGGGTATGGTGTGATCCCTTGGATTTCCTTTTGAACCTAGTTAAGCCCTAGTTTCTGGCACACTGACTGAACCCTAACCCTGGCCTTTTGAAGTCTGACCTTCTATCTCGTCTGACCCTGTGGCCTAGAGTGAATATAAAATAACTTCATTAAAAATAATTAAGTCTGCTTCTATTCTTAGTTTCATTTGAGCTGCACCCTACTTTGTTGGTAAACCAGACAGATAACTTTCTTCATTAAATTTTAACAATTGTAATGTTTGCGATCTCTGTAAGTACTGTGATGGTGATGATGATAATTTTTCTATATGAGTTTTCTTTGAAACTTTCTGTTTTGGTAAGAGTTTAAATTTTTTTAATGTATAATTTTGTATTTTTCTACTCCTAGGTGATTTGCCTGATTTCTAGAATATATGTAAAATGAACCTTACTTATCTTATGCAAAAGTATTATAGTCAGAACTTCAAATGTAGTGACTTTAAGCTTTTAAATAATGGGGAGGACAAAAAAATCTTACTTTTATTACCTAATTTGAATATTATTATATTTTATTTGTATCATATAGTTACCATAACTAAGCTTTTTAATTCCCAGTCTTTTTTCCTAAAGATTAAAATTGATGTCATTGAAACAGTTATTTGGGAAGTTGGCCTGGGACTTACAAAGCCCATGCCTTTAGCCCTGATACATGAACGTGTGCTGTATAACTAATTTAAACAAGATTCATAGAATGTAGTCAGAGGTTTCAGAAGTCTAAGAAACAAGACCAATATCACTTCTGTGGGCACATCTTTATTTTCTCCTGCTTCTAGGGTTACAGGTGAAGTAAAGCACACCACCACCAATACTGTGGTGTGCAGAGTGCAGGGGGAATGGAATAGTGTCCTTGAGTTCACTTACAGCAGTGGGGAGACGAAGTATGTGGACTTGACTACACTGAAGGTGACGAAGAAAAGAGTAAGGCCTCTGGAGAAGCAGGATCCATTTGAATCCAGGTAAGTCATCCTTACACCCATCCTGGGAAGAGACAGCCGCTCTGGATCTTAACCTAAGCGTATTTATTTACTTGTGACTTTAGACAAGTTGTTTCACCAGTTAGCTTCACCTTCCTCATATGTAAAATGAAAGGGTTTGGGGGTCTGATAGGATGTATTTGAGCCCCTTACCACCTATGACAGTACATGACACATAGTCATATTGCAGTAAAAATAAAAAACATTTGTGTACTGGACAAAAGCATGGACATTTAACAGAAGTTTACTATCTTCATCATAAAAGCTCTTGAAAAATATTAGCCAAAATAAATAAATAGGCACCTCATTAAAAAAATAGGCAATGGACACGAAGAGAAAATTTACTAAGAAAATAAAATATGTTCAGTATAATTGAAATTTGGAGGAACACATAAACAATGCAGCAAATTAGTTTTCAAATAATAGTCCCTCTTTTAAGAAGAAGTGTGAACAAGCAGGCATTTAAAAATTTTTCTTTAAATCATTTTATTAGGGGCTCATACAACTCTTATCACAATCCATACATCCACCAATTGTGTAAAGCGCATTTTACATTCATTGCCCTCATCATTCTCAAAACATTTCCTCTCCACTTAAGCCCCCAGCATTAGGTCCTCATTTTTCCCCTCCCTCCCCGCTCCCCCCTCCCTCATGAGCCCTTGATAATTTATAAATTGTTATTTTGTCATATCTTGCCCTGTCTGACGTCTCCCTTCACCCACTTTTTGGTTGTCCGTTCCCCAGGGAGGAGAAGCAGGCATTTTCATACCACTGGTTAGACCATAGTCTGGTCCAAATTTTCTAGGTGGTACTAGGAAGCATTACACTACAAGGAAACATTAAATCTCTTAAATTAAGTTCATATAAGTAGACCCAAGCAATTTATAATTGTGTAAGTGAATTAAATATCCTTTGACCAAAGGCTTGGATTGGATTTTTAAAAATAAAATAGAATAATTAACATATTTTTTTTAGGGATTCATCTGGAAGGAGAATTTCTCAAAAATCTTCTCATTCCTGGGGCTCTCTCAGATCTTTTCAGAGGGGTGGGGAGGACAAGGACAAGGTCCAAATGACCTTTATAATACTAAAATGCTGTTTGACTTCCTCACTGGGTTGGCATTTACCCTTATGGCTATGGTAAGCACTATTACTGGGCCCCAGATCTACCCAGGTAGGGGCATCACACTGGATAAGTATTTACGCCTTACTCCTGCGTCTTTGCCATGTGTTCTCACTTTTTTAAAGCTAGTTCTGTTTCTTACTGTTTTTGATGACGCAGTGTAGATGATTAACTCTGGACCACGGGCAGCACATGTGTTTAGCACTGTCTGTGTGACAGGTTGTGAGGATGCATAAAGCACTATGCTATGTGCTGAAGAGGTCAGTGTTGCAGGAGGACAGGCACTTCTGCAGTTGTTTGAATTGCAGGCTGAATTAGCCACTCTTCATGAAACACCACTGGTGCTTAAAAGAATGCTGGCACACTGTGGTAATCGTCTCTTGGGTCAGACATTTTCCTCATAAATTTTGTGCATGTGATGTCTCAAGGAAATCAATTAAAATTTGTGCTAATGATAAAAATTTAACTCCAGGGAAAATGAGAATTTGCAAAACTATCTCTATGAGTATGACTTGTGATGAAATTGGAGGTGATGTTTAATGAATTTGACTTTTTATATTTTATAAACAGATGTCAACATCTGAAAGACCTACATAACTCAGTGAGCTAATATTTTCCAAATGACCAACACATAATTATAATATATTGAAGGTGCATGTTAGTCCAGTGGATTTCCATATAACTATGAAAAAATTAATTGACATTTTTTAATTGCAGCCAGCCTTAAAAAGCTACCACTGGCCAAGTTTTGATATAGTGTTAAAGGATTGAGTTATTTGAAATACCTATTAAATTCTCCCTTATCCAACCATGTTATCGCTGAGGCCAGGTTTTCCTTATATACTGTAACTAAGATACTAATCTAGTACAACAGATTGAATGCAGAAGCTGATCATGAGAATCTGACTATTAAGATGGGCTTCAAAAAATTTGTCGAAATAAGAGATAAATGGAATTTTTTCACAAAGTTTTGAAAGCCCCTTCATATTAAACCAGACATTAAGGAGATCTGCAAAAATGGAAACAGTGACATCCTTTTCACTACTTTTTTTGGTCTGAAAATGTCATTTCTATAACATGTAGTGATTTCTTTGGTTACTTTTAATTCAAATTTGTAAATATTTCAAGTTTTTTCAGGCTCAGTGTCTAATACTACAAATATCAGAGACAAAATCTATAAGAACACCTGCTCTTTGAGATGCTCAATAATTTGAAAAGAGTGTAAGTATTCCTTACCCAAAAATTTGAGAACTCCCTCCCCTGAGAAATAATTTGAGAAAGTATATAGAGATTTAGATTCAAGAGTATAAATTTATGGTCAAGAACATAATTTCCAACCCTGTAAGTATGTTTTTGGGACATCCAAAGAATGCTGTGAACCATTTATTGATGTCCAAGATTAATAACACAGAAAAATGTGTCCTCTGCAGTAAATGAAAAAAGCCCCAAGTCAGTATATTAAGTCCCATTTTTAAAGGTGTGTGTAAACATGTTACTCATGATACGATGTGCCCACACACATATTACAAGATGGTGTGCTGTTTGGTGTACATAGGAGACTACCCCTATTATCATATTAGGCCCAAGAAATTGAAAACCTACATACATGACCTTCAATAGCAGCATAATGATCAAAAAGTTAAAATAACTCAAATGTCTTCATCAATTGATGGATGAGTAAAATGTAGTATAGTCCTACTGCAGAACATTATATTGAAATACAATAGAATAAAGAACTGATGGCTGGTATGCTGCAGTGAGGGTGAATCATAAAAACATGAAGTGAAGTACAGTGCACACATGATTTCATTTATTTGAAATGAGACAAAGTAAACAACGTGGAGAAAAGATGTGACTGCTAATGGATACAGAGTTTCTTTCAGGAGTGATAAAAGTATTTTGAAATTAAACGGGGATAGTTGCCCAACTCTGTGCTACTGAATGCCACTGAATTGAACACTTTCGATGGGTTCACTCTGTGGTAGATGAAGTGTATCAAGACAAGTTTTATTTTTAAATTTTCAGTGAGTATAGTTAAAATGAGGGTCACTGTCAAGTGTTGGTAAGAATGTAGAGGACATGGAACTCTATAACTTTCTCCTGTAAATGGTATAGCCCCTTGGAGAAACAGTTCTACATTTCTTACAATGCTTACTATACATTTATCATATGAATCAGCAATCTCACTTCTAGATATTTACCCAAGGGAAAACATTTTCACCCCAAATCTTTATTTGTTTTTTCCCAACAACTCTACCCATAGTAACCCAAACATGGCAACAACCCAGATGGTCCATCAGCTGACACAAGAAGTTAGAGAAGAACACCTTCTAGATGACTCTAGTTCAATAAAATTATAGAAAAGGCAAACCTTGCTTAAGAAAGATAATTACTAGCTGCCCAGGAGTAAGAGTGGGACAGCTTTGGGGAGGTTGGTTCTGTGTTTTTCTGTTGGTGGTGCTCTTACAACTGTGTATGTTTATGATCACTCAATTAATTTTATATTGAAATCTGGTGGATTTTACTGTTTGTAAATCATAACTCAGTGAGGCTGGTTTAAAAGTAAGTAAAGGTATAAGCTAAGGAAAAGATGCCTATGTGTTTTAAAAGCTTATAAAGTTATATGGGTGATACAAATGGTTAAGCAGTCAAATACCAGCTGAAAGGTTGGCAGTTGGAGCTCAGTCAGAGACCCCTTGGAAGACAGGCTTGGTGGTGTGCTTCTGACAGGTCACAGCCTTAGAAAACACCCTCTGGAGCACTACTGTTCTGCACACAACAATGTGTCCCTGAGTCAGTCACAATTCGACAGCAGCCACCAACACCAACATAAAATTACACATCAATGTGATAATGATTCACTCCGGCATTACCTTTTTCTTTCTTTCCCAAGATTATTTTAACCAGCACAGGCTTTATTCTATATAAATTTTAGAGTCAGGCTGTCCATTTTTCTTCTCTCAGCAGTGTTTCATAGTTGTTAGTGTATAGGTTTTACTCATTATCTGTTAAACTTATTTTTAAGTATTTTGTATTTTTGCTGCAATTGAAAATGTTTATAATTTCAGTTTCTAACTATGGTGCAGTGGGTTAGGTGTTGAGTTGCTAATGGAAATGTCAGTGCTTCAAACCCACCGGTTGGTGGGAAAAAGATGAGGCTATTTGTTTTTGTTATTTTGATCATTTTATTAGGGATTCATACAACTCTTATCACAATCCATACATATATCCATTGTGTCAAGCACATGTGTACATTTGTTGCCATCATCATTCTCAAAACATTTGTTTTCTACTTGAGCCCTTGATATCAGTTCCTCATTTCCCCCCTCCCTCCCCACACCCCCCTCCCTCATGAACCCTTGATAATTTATAAATTATTAATATTTTGTCATATCTCACACTGTCCGACGTCTCCCTTCACCCACTTTTCTGTTGTCCGTTCCCCAGGGAGGAGGTTATATGTAGATCCTTATAATCTGTTCCCCCTTTCTAGCCCACCTTCCCTCCCTTTTCCAGGTTGAAGAATTTTCCATTTATTCTTGGTTGGGAGTTTAATCTTAAATGGGAGGTGACTTTTATCACCTGTTGCTTTTTTGTTTTTATTTTTTTATTTTACTTTATTTTAAAAATTTAAAGCATTTATGTTGATATGTTGTTCAATGGCATTAAAAATGTTAATTGCTCCATTTTCCATCCCAGACAATGAAGAGTAAATAATATTCATTTAATAAAACACTTCTGAAGTCAGATCATATTATTGAAAGATTAATAAACTATGCCTTTAATATATTTAAGGCTGATATCATCAACTTTTTTTTTATCTTCTTATTAGGGGCTCGTACAACTCTTACCACAATCC